GACTCCCTCTTGCGTGTCTAAATCCACCTAGTACCTTGACGTCAGGAGCAGAGTCAGCAGACGAGTCTAGCTTTCCAGAGCCCGAGAGAGCAGAGCATCCTTTGAACCTATAAATGATGCCAACGTGGACAGTAGCCCGCGTCCACATGGTCCTTTCTGTCAAGCTCTTAGATGGACATCGAGAGAATTTCATTCTTCCATAGTTCGACGTGATATTTGGATATCATGAACAAGGTGTACTGCTCAGCTTTGGGGGACATTAGAGGCCAGTCACAGTCTTGGTAGTCAGGCAGGTGACACCCCTATGCCCTAGTAACTCACAAACACATATAAGCAACTCTGTTACAAGATACAGGGAGCTGAAGTGGCAGAGCAGGGAAAGCAGAGAGCTGCCAGGACTTTTGTGGGAGATTACAGGATGGGCCAAGAATCAAGAGAAATTTTGGAAGAAAGTTGTGGTGAGGTAAAGGAACAACCAAAGAAACTCTGCCACCAAGGGGTGGGGATACAGCCCAGCCGGAGAGCGCTGGCCCTGCAGTGCCGCACGCATGCGCAATCTGTGGGTATTTGGAGACTTGCACTGGTGTGTGGGTCCTGTGCAGCAGTCGTCAGATCAGTGTCAGTGGAATCTGTGCACCCGGAAGAACGAAAGAGTTCAAAACTTTGTTAGAAGAGATGGAAGAAAAGGATGGAAAAAAAGAATTGAAAAAAGTAAAAATAGAGCCTTTGCAAAAGGGAATAAGACCAAGAAGGAAGGAGCAGGAAAGGACAGGAGGGGTAGAGATCAAAAAAGAATTAAGATGTGTTGTGTTTGTGTTCCAACTCCTGATTGCCCATGCTAGTAAAAAAAAAAAAAAAAAAAAAAGACTTGTTAGAATGGCCCAGAGATAAATGATGGGTGACAGGCTTTAATTTTATTGGGGAAAGCAGACATCTGAGGGGAAACAGACACAGACACACACACGCAAATCCCCCCAAGTACAGCACAAGCCATTGTCCGTGCAGAATAGCAATTATGCTGCAATGCCAATGGGCCTCACCCAGTGGACCTGATTGGACTGGAGGAAATGGAGGAAGCAATATCCTCATCAAAACCAAGTTAGGACGAGGCAGAAGATATTTGCATCTCGCACATACCTGGAGCCTAATGTAATAAAAGTGCCCTTGTGAGCCCGCTCCATATCAGCTAGCTGTTCTCTTCCTAACCTTGGTGGTTTGGATGTGAGGCCAGAGCCAGCTCTCCCGTGTTATACAGGCTTGAAGTTAAAGGTTTACATTAGGACTTTAGAGGGAAAGACCTTCAGCTGGGTCTGGAAGTGGACTCTGCAGACAAAGCAAGGTGCCTACGACTGCGTGTAAATGCAGGCACGGCTCAGATGGGTCGGACTCTGGGGTTAGGAGGGAGGTCACTGCGCTTAGGTGGTACAAAACGCTGCTGCCGGCATGGGAGAGGGGCGCATTGGCTCACCTGGAAACTGGTCACTGGGGTACCGTGGAGTGGGAGAGACGGGAAGAGGAACCCTAAGCATCTTTTAGTGTGAGAAAGTCAGGAATCACTCAGAACTCCATAGTGATGGATCTATCCGAGCACACAGGGGCCAAGGTGAAAGGGATTCCTAGGGGCAAAAGCGGGGACAATTGAGCAACAAGATAAGCAACATAGCACGAGTAATTATACACGAATTCACAGCAATAAAAACAAACGATTCAGTAGAGTATGATGAGGGAGACAAACTTTTCCCACAAAAGAAATCAGATAGAGATGCACAGATAGAGATACAGAGATCTATCTCTATCTCTACAGTCCAAGAAATGGAGATCAATCATTTTACACTTCCTACACCTCCAATGTGGGCTAGGTTTAGGGGCTTATTTCCAAATACTAAAGTATCGATAGTGAAAAATGGCAAATTTACAGTGGAGAAAACTCACAAGCAAGACCCTAACCAAATCACTGAGACAGGTATCACCAGCCGAGATCACGTACCTCTGATATGACACAAGAAGACTGCTTGCTACATCTGGTATTATTCCCCCCCAAACACGTAACGTTCATCTAAGCACAAAGAACACATCACAGAAACTCAAATCTAGGGAAATCTTACAAAATACCTGCCAGGAAGCTGGGGGGTGTGGTGCAGGGTGGAGTCCTTGCCTAGCGTGAGCTAGACCTTGGATTCATTCCCCAGCACTTAAAAAAAAGTCTTAAATATGAAGTGGTATGCTGGGTTAGATTCTGGATACAAAGAAGACATTAGTAGGAAAATATGAAATCCAAAATAGTTGGCAGTTTAATTAATAGTAAATATATTAATGTTAATCTTGGTTTTGACAAGTATACCTAAGTTATATAAGATATAAGAGTTAGGGCCAGAGATATTGCTCAGTGGCAGAGGGCCTACCTGGCAAGCACAAGGTCCTGAACTCAATTCCCACTACCAAAATAAAATTAAATTAAAGGTAAGAGTTATGTGAGACTAGAGCATATGAAGACTTACTGTACTGTCTTGGCTATATAAAGTTATTCTAGACTAAAAAGTTTATTTAAAAATAAATTTCCTAACTGCAATAATAAAATTTGTGGAAAAGGGAAAATAGAATTAAAATATTTTAAGGACCTTGAGTTATCATCGGACAATAAAGGTGTTTTGTTTTGTTGAGACAGGGTCTCACTATGCAGTTCGAGGCTGTCTGAGAGCTGGGGTTACAGGTGTATACCCCAACACCCAGCTAAAATAATACAAGTTTTGATTACTTCAAGACTTTGAGCTAGGGGTAGCAGGGCATATGTTCACAGCTGTAATCTCAGCACTCAGGAGGATGAGGCAGGAGGGTCCCTGTGGATTCAAGGTACACCTGGAATACACAGTGAGTTCAAGGCCAACCTGGACAAGGCAAGACCCTGTCTCAAACCAAACAAATAAACAAACAAGTGGGCTTGGCAAATTTTTTCTGTAAAGGAGTAGACAGCAAGTAGTTTAGTGTGTGAAACCCTAATCATCCGCTATGTAGCTACCCAGCTGTGGCATGGGAACAGTCATGGGCAACAGGTAAAGTGGACGTGGTGAGCAGCAGTCTGTTTGAAACTCTGTTTGAAAACACAAGCGGCGGATTCAGTATGACCTACAGGCAACAGTTCTGTCAACTCCTGCATAGAAGGAATACAAATAATTCCAGTTAGTAAAGGATGGCATAATTTGAAAATAACTGTACGTGGTAGTACACATCTGTAATCCCAACACTCCGGAGGCTGAGGCAGGATTGCTGCGGGCTTGAGGCCAGCCTGAACAGCATAATGAGACCTTGTCTCAGAAAACAAAACAAGCAAACAAACAAAAAAAAAATGGACAGCAAGGAGAGAAACAGACACATACCAGCACAAAACAGGAAGTAAAAGGAAGTTGATTTTTGCTCCAAATGTCCGTAATTACATTAAGTATAAATGGATTACATACCCTACTTAAAATCTTTTTGTTTCAGCATGTCTCTTGCAAATAGCATATATTTTAACTTTACTTCATGTCCAATATTAAAAAAAAAAGCAGTCAGGCATATTGGCACATGCCTGTAATTCCAGCACTTGGTAGGCTGAGGCAGGAGGGTTGCTTTGTTTCAAGGCCAATCTGAACTACATGGTGAGACTGCATCTCAAAAAACCAAAATGGGGAGAGGGCTGGGCTACAGTTCACTGCAAAGGCAGGCAGCGAGTATTTCAGGGAGAAATAAACCCACGCAGCAGAAGAGTTTGCATACTTGCCTTACGAATCACTGATGAATCATTGATGGAACAAAAGTTTAGGAATAATATAAATTTCACCTGCAGGATACAACTTATTTTTATGCATGTGTAGAATTTTTATTTCTTTAAATGTTTTATTCTTTTAGTGATATTGTGGATCGTATCTATGGCCTTGCTCTACTGTGGAGCCACCTCCTTAGGGTGGTATTTATGACACCAAAGATATATATATATATATATATTTTTTTTTTTTTTTTTTTTTTGTATTTTTACCGGTACCAGGGATCAAACTCATGACTGCCTGCTTGCAAGGCAGGCACTTATGCCACTGAGCTAAATCCCCAGCCCCCAAAGATATATTTTTATACGAATATTATATTATTCCATTTTGTGACACTATTAAAAAAATACAGGATGCAGGCAAAACAAGAGATTTATTTTTCCCGGTTTGGGTCCAGAATGAGGGGGCTGTGTCTGGGGACGGCCTTGGTGCCAGCTGAGTCCTGAGGAGGGGCAGGCGAGCACCTGCAGAGAAAGCAGCAGCCGCGGCCAGGTCTCTGCTCAGGTCTCGCCTTCTCCTTGTAAGGTACCAGGGTTCAGTCCTGGGCGTCTGCCTCCTGTAAGCCCAGTCCCCTCCCAAAGGCCTGCTTTCACACACTGTGGTTGGACTGAGTTTCACCCTCCTAATGGTTCACAGCAGGGATTAAATTTCAACTTATGAATCTTTGGGAGACACGCAGTCCACATCCAAGCCATAGCATCTATAAATAAAGGTTCTTTCTTTCTCTTTCTTTCTTTTTCTTCTTTTCTTTCAAGACAGGGTTTCACTATGTACTTCAGGTCTTGAGCTCACTTTGTAGCCCAGGCTGGCCTCAAACTCACAGTGATCCTCCTGCCTCAGCCTCCCAACTGCTGGAATTGCAGGCCTGGGCCACCATGTCCAACGTATTTGGCCCTGTCTTCTACTTACGGTTTGGAATGTGTGATACCATACCTGGGCCTCTGAAGAGTGACTGACTCCAGAGAAATGTTTGTAGGGCAGAACACATGGCTTGGAAAACCTGCTCCTTTGAAACTTTACTGTCCTTACTCCCCACTTAATGACAAGCTGTCTAGCCTGATCCTAGAAAAGTCACTAATGAGCTCTTCCCTGAACTGGTTTTTGTGACTACTAAACCCAAGTCCTCTGCTTTAGTTTTTTAAACTTGAGAAAAGACCTCATTCTCAAATTTGGGATCCTCCTGCCTCAGCCTCCCAAGAAGCTGGGATAATAGGCAGGTCTGCGGTTGCAGGCTTCCTGGAGCTTGGACTGTGAGATCAGGGCCGCGGCAGAGGGGCGGCCAATGGCGTGGGAGCGGCCACGCAGGCCGGCTCTCTGAGGTTTGCGTTGGAATGCTCTTTGTGACCTCAGCCTTAGCACAGTGAAGCACAGCCTTAGCAGGACAGTTGTATGGCAGAGAAGGGCACAGGGTTGAGCGATGGCGCTAATCTGGGAGCTGCTTATGCCGCTGTCACCCCATCTCAACCTTCTACTACCATTCGGTGCCCTTGTCTGCGGGGTGTGTGTGCTGTTGGCCAGACGTCACCGCAAGAGGCCGGTGGCAGTCAAGACAGACTCAGAGGTACAAACCTGCTGCGACTGCGGGGGACCCGAGAGCCGCCTGCGCTTTGGTTTATGGGAGGGATCAGGTGGAGGAGGGGGGATCTGAGACAGTGGCCGCGGGCGTCCTGCCTACCGTCCTGCAAGCCCTTTGGCCTTCCATTCTCTTCGGCCTGCAGAGGACCAACCACTGAGGACCAATCACCCGGGCTGGGGGGAGACTAAACCCCACGCCCACCCTAGGAGCCCCGGGAAGTGGGAGACCTGGGGGCGGGGAGCCGTTTGATCCGGGATGAACTGGAAAAGATCTCTGGAGAGCTCAGGTTTTGTTTTTTAGTGGTTTTTGGAGACAAGGCTCACTATGTAGCTCAGGCCAGCCTCCGACTCACCGTAATCGTCCCACCTCGGTCACCCACCTGCTGGGCCTGCAGGAGCCTGCATCGCCCAGTGTGGCCTGATGTCTGCAGTTCTGCATATCGCATTCCCAAAATTCCATTGTTTGTTGTTTTATAATTTGAAAATATGTCATCATTTAAAAATGTATAGCTGCATGACAAAGAAGGCTTCAGGATGTTAACTGCAAATGACACGGCCTTGGTGGAATCCTGATTCCCAATAGGAGAGGAATTGCCTGGCCACGTGGTCTCTGTTTAATTTATTAGATGATGTCGGTTTCCTAAACTGCTTACACTAATTTACTGTCCCATGAGAGTAGTTGTACATTCTCTCTCTCTCTCTCTCTCTCTCTCTCTCTTTTTTTTTTTTTTTTTTTTTTTGCTCCTGTACTTTTTGAGGCAGGCCTTCTGTGCAGCCCAGGCTGGCCTTGAACTCACAGCACTGCTGCTGCCTCAGCCTCTCCCAGTGCTGGGATTCCGGGTGTGCACCATTACAGGTTGCTCTACATTGTTGCCATCTTGCTCGTCCTCGGCATTGTCCATCAGCTTCACTTTGGTCACTCCAGTATATGGCATTGCACTGTGGTTTTATGTGTGTTTGCGATTAATGATACTGTCTTCTCGTGTTTATTGATCATTTGGAGATTCTTTTTTTTCTTTTTGTTGCTGAGACAGGTCTTGCTATATACTCAGGTCTCCTTTGTTTTTGTTTTTGGTACTGAGAATCGAACTCACAAACTTGTACTTGCCAGGCAGGCGCTGAGCCGCTAAGCTATATCCCTGGCCCCAGGTTGCCTTTGAAATTCACTGTGTAATCCTGGCTGGCCTTGACTTCACAGTGATCCTCCTGCCTCAGCCTCCCGGTTGCTGGGACTACAGGTGTATACCACCATGTCAGCCTGTAAATTCTCTTTTGCAAACTGCCTGTTGAAATATTTTGTCTCTTAAGGATTGGGTGCTCAGTCTTTTGCTTAGTGATTTGTAAGAATTCTTTAAAAATATGAACAGGTAACTGAGCGTGGTGGCACACATCTGTTATCCCAGCATTCTGAAGTCTGAGGAAAAGAGGGTCACTGAGAATTCAGGGGCAGGCTGAACCTCGTAATGAGTTCTCTCCAGCCTAGAACACATGTCGAGACCTTCTCTCAAAAAAAAAAAGTGGGGGGGCTGGGGATTTAGGTCGGTGGCACAAGCACCTGCCTGGCAAGCATGAGGCTATGAGTTCAATCTCCGCTACCAAAATAAGTAAATATTATGAAAATGAATCCTCTGCCAGCTATAGGTCTTAAAAATCAGTCCTCTCACTTTGTGCCTTAACTTTCGATTTGATTATGATGTCTTAACCGGAGTTCTTAATCTTATTTATTTTAATTTTTATTTACTTATTTTTGCTTTGAGACAAGATCTTGCTATGTAGTTCACTATGTAGCCCAGGTTGGCCTGGAACTTGTGGTGACTCTCCTGCCTCAGCCTACCAAGTGCTGGGATTACAGGCATGCACCACCATACCTGGTGTGAAGTTCTTAGTTTTAATGAAATCCAATTTATCAAATTTTCTTTTATGCCTAGTCCTACCTTTCCCACCTTTTCTAGTATTAGAAATCTTTGACTACACAGGCTATAAATCTAGTTTTCTATGCTTCTTCTACAATTCTTACTTTCTTCTTCTTTTCACATGTAGACCTAGGACGCCATCTCAGATTACCTTTTGTGTGTGGTGAATGGCAGGGGCCAAAATTCTTCCCCCATCTCTCTGTGTAGAAATCTAATTCCCAGGGGCTGGAGGTTTAGCTCAGTGGCATAAGCACCTGCTTTGCAAGCAGGCGGTCATGAGTTTGATCCCTGGTACCGATAAAAATGAAAAAGACCAAAAAAAAAAAAAAAAGAAATCTAATTCCCTCCGTAGGGCAGGGATTAGGGTAAAATAATCAAGACTCTCATCTCAGAGACAAATTTAAGTGACACTGGGTAGGCATAGTGGTGTACACCTGTGATCCCAGTACTCTGGAGGCTGAGGCAGAAGGATCACTGCCAGTTAGAGGCCAGCCTGAGCTACATAGGTGAGACTACACAGTGAGACCCTGTCTCAGGAAAAAAAAAAAAAGGTACCAAAAATCTTGTAATCAATCCAGATACTTAATTCATCATCACCATTCTCATCGGTATTATTAGGGCTTTTTTTTTTTTTTTTTTTTGTCTTTTTCGTTTTTATCAGTACCAGGGATCAAACTCACGATTGCCTGCTTGCAAGGCAGGTGCTTATGCCGCTGAGCTAAATTCCCAGTCCCTATTAGGGCTTTTTGAGAGCGTGTTGCTATGTAGTTTGGGCAGGCTGGCCTTGAACTCACAAGGTGGCCCAGGCTGGCCTCGTACTCAGCAGTAATTCTCTCACCTCAGCCTCCCAAGTGCTGGGGTCACAGGCGTGCACCACCAAGGCCAGCTTAATTCATTATTACTGATAAATCAAAATTAATGCAAGAATTCTCAAAGAGCAAAATATAAAACTTTAAAATCTGATCTGTGTTTGCACTGCCCTCAATACCTCACTGATCTCAGTTCTTTCCACCCACACTGTTTACTGAGAAGACTTTCTTCACTGGCTAGCATAGGTGACTCTGTCCTGAATCAGAAAAACGTATATATGTGCTCTATTTCAAGACTCAGGTTTTTTTTTTTTTTTTTTTTTGTCTTTTTTGTCTTTTTCCTTTTTATCGGTACCGGGGATCGAATCCATGACTGCCTGCTTCCAAGGCAGGCGCTTATGCCGCTGAGCTAAATCCCCAGCCCTCAAGACTCAGTTTTTCACATTCATCTATTTATCATCCTTAAAGCAAAACCTCACTGTATTGAATGATGTACTGCTATACTTATTGTCTTGAATTTGCTAATGCATAAGGCTTCTGATTTTGGTCTTCTTGCAACTGTGTTATTCTAGATCAGTGATGGTGAACTTTTAGAGACGAGTGCCCAAGCTGCACCCCAAAACCTACTTATTTATTGCAAAACGCCAACACTGCCATTTGACCTGAATACTGACGTTTTAGTTTAGGAAGAAACAACTGTTATCTTAAAAAAAGTCAGGGCAGCCTGGCTTGTGTGGTAACAAAGAGGGCTCTGTATGTGGCTTCAGCATGTGTGCCATAGGTTCGCAACCACTGTTCTAGGTCTCTGGCATTTTCATGTCATTTATTTTTTCAAATTCATTTGGTTTCAAGGAAAAAAAAGAAGAAGAAAAAAGGACTAAAATAAAATTTCAAAACATGTCTATCGAGGGGAACAATGATTCGTGTAATTTGGGAACCATGCTGTTAACTGTCACACAAAACATGCAGGGTGTAGCAGGCAGTCATGAGTTCGATCCCTGGTACCGACAAAAAACAAAAAACAAAAACAAAAACAAAAAAATGCAGGGTGTAGGCTGGGATGACACTGAATTTACAGTTTATGTTGGAGGTAACAAACATCCCAAAAATGTTTTCCAATTCGTGAATTTGTTTCTCATTCATATATTTCAACTTTCTTACTTTCTCTCAATTATACTTATCTGGTTATACAAAGGGTTTTAAAAGGTTATATAGTAATGGGGCTGGGGATTTAGCTCAGTGGCATAAGCACCTGCCTTAAGCAGGCGGTCATGAGTTCAATCCCTGGTACCGATTTAAAAAAAAAAGGTTATAGTAAGTATAGTATATTACTATTAATTTTAGTATATTAAGGAAAATTTCAAACAAATCAAAAGTACATAGAAGTGTATAAGAATCTAAGTGGGTCCATCACCCTGCTGCAACTTTTACCACATTATTGTGAGCAAATTTCAAATAATACAATTTAATTTGTAAATGTTTTAGAGAATGCATCCAAAGATAAGGATCCCTAAAAATGTTTAATAAAATAACTGTTTAATCAGCTGAGCATGGTGGTGCACAACTTTAGTTCTACTATGTGGGAGGCTGAATCAGGAGTATTGCTTGAGTCTAGGAGTTTAAGGCTGCCCTGTACAACACAGCAAGAGTGCTTAATCAAAACAAACAAGATGCTTAATTACAATATTATTATTATTATTGGGTTTTTTAATGTCTACGGCTATACCATCCTGAAGGTTCCCAATCTCATCTGATCTTGGAAGCTAGGCAGTGTCAAGTATGATTAGTACCTGGTTTATTTTTAAAACAGGGTCTCACTATGGTGTTCAGGCTGACTTTGAACTCCTTATGTATCTTAGGCTGGCTTCAAACTTGTGGTTATCCTCCTGCCTCAGCCTCCCAAGTGCTGGGATTATAGGTATGTGCCACCACCACACCTGCCAACACAATATCATTATTGTGTATAAAAGCTTAACAATATTTCCTCATCAAATACCAATTGAGTATTCAAATTCCAATAGTTTCATAAATGACATGTTATCAGGTCCTGACTTAGATCCCCAATCTCCCAAACGAGTATATGGCAAAAGCTTAAGTAAAATGAGACAAGTGGTATGACTTTAGGGCTCCAGGAGGGTCAAAACCTTTAGCTGAGCTCAAGACTCTGGGGACTAAGACAGAGACTTCTCTGGACCACCCATTTTATTGGGTCCAACAACAAGGGCAGGGAAACTGAGGAAAGTGCAGGGAAATGAGCAGGACCT